TGATGGTTTATATTTTGAAGGAATTATTCTAGTGTGACACCAGACAAATAAAATACTCTATTATTGTAACAAACCTGAGTATTTATTTTCTGCAGCACTGGAAGCTGTTACAAATGTCCTTTGAAGTTTTGTTTTTTTAATATCTCTATATTTCTTAGCCACATCCTTTGACAATTCTCCTATTCTTATCATTAAAGGTGCAGGATACCTGAAACCTTAAGATTACTCAAATTTCAGGAAATAAGGCAAATAACTTACACGCAACCCATAAATTCTATATTAGTAAATGCTTTTGCTAAGGCTACAAGGTAATCTTCTGGAAATTTATCTTGATGAACCGTCATGAATTCTTTTCGAAGTTGCCAATGCTCTTCTGGTTCAGTTTCATCGTAATATTTATCGACATCCCAATTAGTCTTAAACTTCTGAGTCATTATGTTGTAATAAATATTAAATTTTCTTTCATAAAAATAATTTACTATTATTTTATTGACGGAAAATTTTTAGGTTAGAATCAATTCTTTGTTGTTGACTGATTCTATAGAAACTTATCACAATGATTTAAATCTTTAAATTCTGTCGCTCATACCGATAGCCGGTGATAGAAACGAGTGTTTCCATTTTATGATAATGACTTCTATTCTTAATAAAAATTAATCCGAACACTTACTATTTAAAACTGTGAGAAATCATGATTACAAAGAGAATGGTATTTAATAATACAATTAACAATTTTTTACTTTTTAATTTAAACGTTTAATTTGTTTCGCATATATATAATGTTACTATCTATGTTTACTATATAGATGTTGTTACGTACATGTTACGTGTGTCAATGCAAAAAATTTCCATTCTTGCTCACTTTCGCAAAAGTTAGAATGTACTAGAATAAAAGGTGATATACAAAAAAGTTATTCGTTATTCTAAATTATTATTGTTAATCAATTAATTTTACAACTACCATTGGGTAAGTATATATCAAGTTTATTGAACTATTGTTATAAGATTACTCTTATGCACCTAGGAATATCATTTTTTTTGCTGTTTATTAAAAAAACGGTTTTTGCTAATATGTTGTTCAAATATAAAATTTGGAATATTTCATGTGATATAACAATAAGTTATTTTGGAGTGTTATTTCGTTCCTGGTTGAATTAAAGAATTATTAGTTTTTATTTTTTATCGTATTATCATCGAATCCGTGTAATATTTTTATTTTCTTTACATTCGGGTGTTTTGTGACCTTCGTGATAATTAATATTCTTATTTGATCAAAATAGTTCAAGTGAATATAAAAAAAATTTAATGTAAAACTTGAACAAAAGTCAACTGAAGAATGGAATCCAGAGGCGAAACATGTGAATTACAACAACTTGTCCCAAGTGATGTTGATGGAGAAAACGAAGACAGTTTAGCTCAAGACGATTATACACTAAATGGAGAAAAAACCGTATCTCCTCTTAGAAGCATGAAAATTTCTTCAACAGGAACAAGTCACAGTTCTGTGTCTAAACGAAACAATCCTTCTAACACAACTGGTACTGCTAATTCAAAGCTATTTTATATCAATGAAAAACGGTTTAACAAAGATTCTAAATCAAACACTGCACGTCCGCGGAATCCACACAAAGGTAAATTTACTTAGGCTTTGCATTCCTTTAATGTTTATCAGTTTGTTCCTTGATGCTTTTGTAAGTATTATTATTTTATTACTTATTGTTGCATTAGGACGTACTGCTTGCTGCTTTTTATAATAGCTTTTTATTTATTTTTGCATGCTGAGTAGTAAATTCAAATGGTTCAACTGCTCGACACCATTGTTTTCTTTCTGAAGTACCAGATGTGAGACATATGGAACAGGCACTTCTCGGTCTTTTGGCTGACTTTCATTCTGGCAAATTGAAAGCATTTGGAAGTGGAACAACAATGGAACAAATGAAAAATATACGAGAACAACAAGAAAAACTTGCCAAATTACATTTTGATCTAAGTGCAACTAGTGATCCTCCCCTTAGTGATATAGGACTTAAACATTCTCGTAATACAATGAGCCAACTTATAGACAGATTAGAACAACTCAGTGTGTCCATAGAGGGATTACATAATAATAATAAAAAATAATTTTTCCAAAATTAATCATTATAGTTAGAGTAATTTTTCTATAATATATGCATGTACCTTATAATAGTAAATTGTACTGGATGTTCTACAAAACTGCATATGACTGTAATTCCGAAATATATTTATTTTGGGTTTTCGTTTTGATGGTTTAAGCAAACGTGATTTATTTACTGTTATATCCTAATCAGTACATAAATAAAAGTTATAATTAAATGCTTTTTCAGTGCTTTATTTATCACATTTTTAAGAATCATATTATAAATAAAATATGTGTAATATACATATATATTGTAAGTAGTTATCTGTTAACTAAAAATCCATTTAATTAAAAGCAACTAATTGATATTCTTTATCTCTTACTATTTGATGCATATTGAATTGGATCTGACTTCCTTTTCCCTAGAATAAATTTATATTACCATAAATAAACAATATACAAATGTAAAGTAAGTACTGTAAGAAATTTACTATAATTCCTCTATGCCTCCATTACAATAATTTTAAAGTACGTAGTGTAAATCAAAGTAGATTTTATTTGCAATACTTTGATGGTTTATATTTTGAAGGAATTATTCTAGTGTGACACCAGACAAATAAAATACTCTATTATTGTAACAAACCTGAGTATTTATTTTCTGCAGCACTGGAAGCTGTTACAAATGTCCTTTGAAGTTTTGTTTTTTTAATATCTCTATATTTCTTAGCCACATCCTTTGACAATTCTCCTATTCTTATCATTAAAGGTGCAGGATACCTGAAACCTTAAGATTACTCAAATTTCAGGAAATAAGGCAAATAACTTACACGCAACCCATAAATTCTATATTAGTAAATGCTTTTGCTAAGGCTACAAGGTAATCTTCTGGAAATTTATCTTGATGAACCGTCATGAATTCTTTTCGAAGTTGCCAATGCTCTTCTGGTTCAGTTTCATCGTAATATTTATCGACATCCCAATTAGTCTTAAACTTCTGAGTCATTATGTTGTAATAAATATTAAATTTTCTTTCATAAAAATAATTTACTATTATTTTATNTTTATTGAACTATTGTTATAAGATTACTCTTATGCACCTAGGAATATCATTTTTTTTGCTGTTTATTAAAAAAACGGTTTTTGCTAATATGTTGTTCAAATATAAAATTTGGAATATTTCATGTGATACTGCCTGTTATATTTAAATAATTAGCTAATTTTGGTTGTACTGTATTACTTTTTTTATAACCTCAAAGTTGCTCAAGTATGCTCCACGTTTTTTTTAAATATATTTGTAGGTAATCCGTACAATGCCGTCTGACGCTAAAAAACGCGAGCAACAACGGAAAAAAGAAGCTTCTAAAGCTCGTCAGGCTGGAAAGAAAACGCAAAATAATACTAAACAAGATGAAAAGAATAATTCAATAACTAACGGCGATTGTGAACAAAACGGATTAAGTGCAGAAGGTAAATACAAAACTTGTTTTGCATAAACATGCTGCATTTTAGAATATTTTCTTCATTTTGGTTTTCTACAACTTTCAGAAGCACTTTGTAAAAAGTTAGAAGCAGATGCCAGGTTAAATGCAGAAGCAAGAGCTTGCACTGGGAGCTTGGCTGTACATCCTAAATCAAGAGATATCAAAATTGAAAATTTCTCTATCACTTTCCATGGCTGTGAAATGTTGCAAGATGCACTGTTGGAATTGAACTGTGGTCGACGTTATGGTTTGTTGGGACCCAATGGCTGTGGTAAAGATTTTTGTTGTATATTTTTAAACTATATCTACTTATATGACTTATCTTAATAGGAAAATCAACCATTATGGCAGTTCTTGGAAATAGAGAAGTTCCTATCCCTGAACATATTGATATATTTCATTTGACAAGAGAGATGCCAGCCTCTGATAAAAGTGCTTTGCAGTGTGTTATGGAAGTTGATGAAGAAAGATTAAGGCTAGAAAAACTTGCTGAAGCACTTGTTGAATGTCAAGATGATGGTGAGAAATAAATTGAATTAGTTTTTCCCCCCAATTACCTATAACAGTATGCTTCATCTTTATTCATTTTTTTTTCTATTAATAAATTCTGTTACGCAGCCAACAGTTGTTAATTACATTAGAAAATCCATTGCTTGTTTACTTTTTCAATAACTGCTGACTATACTGTTTTGTAATTGTAATGTATTTGCTTTTGAAGGATGGTTTTAGATTATATCCTTTTCAAACAAAGTTTTGTTACTTTCAGATTCTCAAGAACAACTTATGGATGTGTATGAGCGTTTGGATGATATTTCGGCTGATACTGCAGAAGCGAGAGCTGCAGAAATCTTACATGGTTTAGGATTTAACAAGGAGATGCAGCAGCAAAAAACCAGAGATTTCAGTGGTGGTTGGAGAATGAGGATTGCACTTGCCAGGGCTCTGTATGTCAAACCACATCTGTTACTGTTGGATGAGCCCACCAATCATCTTGATTTAGATGCTTGTGTATGGTTGGAAGAGTATTTGAAAAAGTAAGTAAATTAATTTCATTCCTTACAGCCGAGACTCTTCTTAAAAAATGTATAATTAATTTATGGGTACTTTCTCATATAACAGTATGTTTATATTTGGTTTATTGTTTTAGTTACAAGAGGATTTTGGTGATTATTTCTCATTCACAAGATTTCTTAAATGGTGTGTGTACAAACATCATCCATGTAACAAAAAAACGTAAACAATATACAAATGTAAAGTAAGTACTGTAAGAAATTTACTATAATTCCTCTATGCCTCCATTACAATAATTTTAAAGTACGTAGTGTAAATCAAAGTAGATTTTATTTGCAATACTTTGATGGTTTATATTTTGAAGGAATTATTCTAGTGTGACACCAGACAAATAAAATACTCTATTATTGTAACAAACCTGAGTATTTATTTTCTGCAGCACTGGAAGCTGTTACAAATGTCCTTTGAAGTTTTGTTTTTTTAATATCTCTATATTTCTTAGCCACATCCTTTGACAATTCTCCTATTCTTATCATTAAAGGTGCAGGATACCTGAAACCTTAAGATTACTCAAATTTCAGGAAATAAGGCAAATAACTTACACGCAACCCATAAATTCTATATTAGTAAATGCTTTTGCTAAGGCTACAAGGTAATCTTCTGGAAATTTATCTTGATGAACCGTCATGAATTCTTTTCGAAGTTGCCAATGCTCTTCTGGTTCAGTTTCATCGTAATATTTATCGACATCCCAATTAGTCTTAAACTTCTGAGTCATTATGTTGTAATAAATATTAAATTTTCTTTCATAAAAATAATTTACTATTATTTTATTGACGGAAAATTTTTAGGTTAGAATCAATTCTTGTTGTTGACTGGTTGTTGACTGATTCTATAGAAACTTATCACAATGATTTAAATCTTTAAATTCTGTCGCTCATACCGATAGCCGGTGATAGAAACGAGTGTTTCCATTTTATGATAATGACTTCTAATTTGCTGATACTTTTTTAACGTCTTTGGCATTATTTGTATTGTGGATTGCATAAACTTTAGGCAACGTATGAAAAGTGTTCTTTTGACAGGTTATTTTATTACTAATAACCAGTGAACTCTATAATAACCTATGGAGTATTAACCCTAACAACTTATAACGTTATATACATGTATTGTATATTTATGAATGAGACATTGTTGACGATTCATATAAAATTAGATTGAGTTAAAACCTTGATTAAAATCTTACTCAGTAATAAATAGTTACGAATTTAATATTAAGCAGATTAATTCGGTACAGTCCTCTTTAGAGTGTTACATCCACTCACCCTAGAGGTTAACTNGTTATTCTAAATTATTATTGTTAATCAATTAATTTTACAACTACCATTGGGTAAGTATATATCAAGTTTATTGAACTATTGTTATAAGATTACTCTTATGCACCTAGGAATATCATTTTTTTTGCTGTTTATTAAAAAAACGGTTTTTGCTAATATGTTGTTCAAATATAAAATTTGGAATATTTCATGTGATACTGCCTGTTATATTTAAATAATTAGCTAATTTTGGTTGTACTGTATTACTTTTTTTATAACCTCAAAGTTGCTCAAGTATGCTCCACGTTTTTTTTAAATATATTTGTAGGTAATCCGTACAATGCCGTCTGACGCTAAAAAACGCGAGCAACAACGGAAAAAAGAAGCTTCTAAAGCTCGTCAGGCTGGAAAGAAAACGCAAAATAATACTAAACAAGATGAAAAGAATAATTCAATAACTAACGGCGATTGTGAACAAAACGGATTAAGTGCAGAAGGTAAATACAAAACTTGTTTTGCATAAACATGCTGCATTTTAGAATATTTTCTTCATTTTGGTTTTCTACAACTTTCAGAAGCACTTTGTAAAAAGTTAGAAGCAGATGCCAGGTTAAATGCAGAAGCAAGAGCTTGCACTGGGAGCTTGGCTGTACATCCTAAATCAAGAGATATCAAAATTGAAAATTTCTCTATCACTTTCCATGGCTGTGAAATGTTGCAAGATGCACTGTTGGAATTGAACTGTGGTCGACGTTATGGTTTGTTGGGACCCAATGGCTGTGGTAAAGATTTTTGTTGTATATTTTTAAACTATATCTACTTATATGACTTATCTTAATAGGAAAATCAACCATTATGGCAGTTCTTGGAAATAGAGAAGTTCCTATCCCTGAACATATTGATATATTTCATTTGACAAGAGAGATGCCAGCCTCTGATAAAAGTGCTTTGCAGTGTGTTATGGAAGTTGATGAAGAAAGATTAAGGCTAGAAAAACTTGCTGAAGCACTTGTTGAATGTCAAGATGATGGTGAGAAATAAATTGAATTAGTTTTTCCCCCCAATTACCTATAACAGTATGCTTCATCTTTATTCATTTTTTTTTCTATTAATAAATTCTGTTACGCAGCCAACAGTTGTTAATTACATTAGAAAATCCATTGCTTGTTTACTTTTTCAATAACTGCTGACTATACTGTTTTGTAATTGTAATGTATTTGCTTTTGAAGGATGGTTTTAGATTATATCCTTTTCAAACAAAGTTTTGTTACTTTCAGATTCTCAAGAACAACTTATGGATGTGTATGAGCGTTTGGATGATATTTCGGCTGATACTGCAGAAGCGAGAGCTGCAGAAATCTTACATGGTTTAGGATTTAACAAGGAGATGCAGCAGCAAAAAACCAGAGATTTCAGTGGTGGTTGGAGAATGAGGATTGCACTTGCCAGGGCTCTGTATGTCAAACCACATCTGTTACTGTTGGATGAGCCCACCAATCATCTTGATTTAGATGCTTGTGTATGGTTGGAAGAGTATTTGAAAAAGTAAGTAAATTAATTTCATTCCTTACAGCCGAGACTCTTCTTAAAAAATGTATAATTAATTTATGGGTACTTTCTCATATAACAGTATGTTTATATTTGGTTTATTGTTTTAGTTACAAGAGGATTTTGGTGATTATTTCTCATTCACAAGATTTCTTAAATGGTGTGTGTACAAACATCATCCATGTAACAAAAAAACGTCTAAAGTACTACACAGGTAATTATGATGCTTTTGTCCGCACAAGAATGGAACTGCTGGAAAATCAAATGAAGCAATATAACTGGGAACAAGATCAGATCAATCATATGAAGGTAAGCATTATTCATTATCTAAACATTTTTTTTAATAGCAGTATTTTTTAGAACTACATTGCCAGATTTGGTCATGGTTCTGCAAAATTAGCTCGTCAAGCTCAGTCCAAGGAAAAAACTCTTGCAAAAATGATGGCTGGTGGTTTGACAGAAAAGGTGATTTCAGACAAAAGTGTTTCTTTCTATTTTCCAAGCTGCGGCACTATTCCACCTCCTGTCATCATGGTCCAGAATGTAAGTTTCAGATATTCGGATAATGGACCATGGATCTACAAAAATTTGGAATTTGGCATTGATTTGGACACTAGACTTGCCTTAGTAGGGCCTAATGGTGCCGGAAAAAGTACTCTTTTGAAGCTATTATATGGAGATGTAAGTAATTGGTGCATGTTATTTGTATATCAAAGAATTTTGTATTTAGATCTAATTTTTGAAATTTATTGAGGTATTGTTCAATGAAAGTATTTTTAATATTTTTGTAGCTAATTCCAACAGAAGGCATGATTAGAAAGAATTCTCATCTGAGGATTGCCAGATATCATCAGCATTTACATGAACTTTTAGATTTGGATGTTTCGCCCTTGGAATACATGATGAAATCATTTCCTGAAGTCAAGGAAAAGGAAGAGATGAGGAAAATTATTGGCCGTTATGGATTAACTGGAAGACAACAGGTACTTTTAATAAAAACTTGATATCTAAGTTACAATTGTAATTGAGAGTACCNCATCGCAACGGAAAGTAAAGGTAGATATAGGGCTGATACCCGTTTTTTTGCTTCAGGAGAAGAGAAACGAGGATCAGAGTCGTGCCACGACAGCAGAGATCGTACAGTATCCACTGCTTTCCCATGAAGAGAAGGATTTCTAAAGAAAAAGAAATATTTAAATGTGTTTTTTTTAATGAAAACACAATCATAAACTTACTGTATTTCTATTAAAACAGTAGCCACATCTGTAAGTACAAGTCCTGTCAGGTAGTGATGTTGCCTATATTCTGTAGACAATTCAGCAAAAACACCAACTCTCTCTTGACTTGCGGGTGGACCAGATAAAAAGGAAGTTTGACTATTCGAACTCGTGATGCTTGGACTTGGAGAAACACTGGCACCAGTTGTCATAAATGGCGTCGCAAATGGTAGATTTAGTGGTACGTAATGTTCATGACTACAAACGATACGAATGAACTCAAGTTTTAATTCTACCAACGATGACACGTCCTGAATCGATTGTATTTTCGCCTGTAGCTGCTTACAATACGATCTAATAAGCTGAAATACGTATCCTCTGTCTGCTACCGAAAGCAAGTCGAAATAAAAGAATGCCAGTGCTGCGTTTAATTTATGCGCACGAGCTACATCGCTTGTACTGTGAGCGATGATTTCTGCAGTAACAGTATGAACCAGTGTCATGATATCATCCAAAAACTGTTCCGGAAATCTGATTTTTCTAGGGGCATACAGTGTTCTGGTATGTCCAAGATGTTCTACCATACTTTTTACCATTAATTCAAAAAAGAACCAAGCGCTTTGCATTGCCAATTCTTTGGATCTTCCACTGGACACGACCCATTGAAGAGCTAGTTCCTGGTGAACGATACGTTGATAAGAATTAATATTTAACGAACTCACATCCATTTGAGGAGAACGCATGCTAGAAGCCCTGTCTAAACCTCTTGGTTGAATCGCCGCAATTTCTAAATCAGGGTGAGAAGTGCTTCTGGTTAACGATGTCTTACTTTCCCATTCAAGGGTAGATTGATCGGCGGTTCGAAGAGGATGTGGCAAATGACATTGGTAATGAATATAGGTAGTTAGAAGGCCGTTTCGGGAATGCTGATCAGATGGTGTTTCCCCTATTCCCTAAACAATACCATAATAATTGTCGTGCTTTGATTTTAACAAGAAAATAATTTACCGAAATATTATTTAAAAGTAAACAGAGAGCTTCAAACGATGTGTGTCCTACGTTAAGTGAGTGTCCAGAAACACGAGGGGGTTGAACTAAAAGTTTTATAATGCTGTCGAAAATTACAGGCAAAAATCGAACTAATGTTTTAGGACGAGCTCCAGCTAAGCCCAACATGGCAGATCTATAAAATAATAATAACGATCGTAAAATGCCTACTTCAATGAATATTAAAATACCTTAATTCATTTTCTATGCCACTCTCTCCTAATCTCGCAGGTATCACTCCAGTTTCAACATTATCATATGCCAATAAGAACCTTTCTATTGCCGGATCATGAGTGTGAATAGAAGACGCAGTGTCAAGTGAAACTGTAAAAAGACCTTTGTGGTTGTCAAGCCATTTCGTACCCGGAAGATAAACATCCGGCGGAAGATATCTGTAATTTAACGCAGGTGGATCCAACATTACCGGCAAACAGAATTCTCCAGATACTAAGTGACCCTCACGTAGCAAAGGCAACCACTAACAAATAAAAAATTTCATTTTGTCAATGTTTCTAACCAGATTAATTAAAAATCATAATAATTAATCATTTATGATATTTCTTATGACTTATTTATACATATTGATTTTAATTATGATTACATGTTGGGTTAATAATAATTAAATATTTCTTACTGTGTATCCAACCGGAGTGTCAACAGAAGTTTGTTCCACTTTTCTTTGACAACTTATGTGATAAAATGTAAAAAGTAAATGATGATTGTCGGCTAGCGCAGCAGGTAATTTAATTTTTATCTCGTCATAAAATACAGGACATTTATTATGATATGTCACTGCTGTATAAGCATCGGAACTCATTTCAGGACAGTTGGATTTCCCGAAAATATTTGGTAATGCGTGCTGTTCTCCTTCTCCAGTCATCAGTTGTATCCTGACTGCTATATTTCTAGCAGAGCCCTGTCTGTTTGAAAAATTCAACTCCTTTGGGCTGACAAAAAGCAAATTTCTGTAATTATAATGGGGAACCAAGATATCTTTAATAGGAAATTCTAACAGTTCTTTGACGGGCCTACTTTTGTCATCAGGATAAGGATGTAATTTGGCTAGTTCCGTTGTAAGACAATGCTTGACGTCTGGAGGACAAGGAGATATATCCAGCTTTAAACTAGCTGGAATGCACTTCAATTTCTTCATTATTAGATTGGGTTTTTTCAACTCCAGCAGACATTTATAAAGATCGTCATCGCGAAATCTTTCGTTTTCCTGCTTGAAAAAGGAAGATACTGTAAGAGTGATTGGTCGAAAACTATCCAAACTGGTTGCCAAGCGATCTGGAGACCAAGATCGTCGTTTTTCGGATTTTCGCTCTAAAGATCCTCTTCTTGCAATATTTCCCATTTCATTTGCTTTACGACGTAGTTGTTCCAAACCACTACTGGTAGACTTTCGATCTAAAGTAAATACGAAATTAACGCTTAAAAAATATATGATGTCCAATACTATTGATTACCTAAACTGTTTGTGCTCGATGTTGTACTATTTGTATCTTTCTCTCCATCTCTATCCAATGAATTTCCTCCGTTTATAATATTTAGAAGATATATTCCTGTCCATGCAAAGGCTTGACGATACTTGCCCAACCTTTCACAAACACTTACTGCATTTGCCTTTAGTTTATCTCTGTTCTATAAAAAAGTAAAAACAAAGATTATTTTTTTTAATAAAGCGAACATACAAAAATAATTACAAAGTTTAGTATATATTACCTTATCATCTTTTATATAAGGCTCAACACACTCGTTTAAATCGCCTTGAAGAATCTTCTCAAGTCTAACAACAAGAAACAGATCTGGAGAGGGATTAGTCACATCAAAAATGCACCCTCTTGCTTGTGTGCTATTATCACAATAAGGGATGTGTCCGCCCAACATGCGTTTTAAACTTTCCGGATTCATATCAAAATAAAAAGTTTCTGACACTTTCCTGCGCTCTTTTGCATCGTAAAGAGCCATCGAAGCAAACAAGGGTTCTATCTCTAAATCAAGTCTAAGACAAACAGAAAAAACATACCTAAATAAAAATAGATATTAACTGAATATTAATAATTTACAGATTTTTCTATATCGAAATTTGGCGATTACCCAAATTTAAAAAATAAAATAAATTACAATATATAAAAAAAAATATTACTTCAGCTGTAAACATCTAACAAGTATTCTATGACCCATATGTTCTGCTGGAGGACTTGGCGGGACTCTACGCTCAACAGGCTCAGACCCTTCAATATCAAACGGGGGTGGACATAATGAATAAAATCCATCTGGTCGACCAATCTGCCTTTGACTCTCATTTAACTGATCCAGAGTCTCAGGAGAGAAATGTTCCAATATTTCTGGTATAAGAGGATCCCCAGCAGAGTAACGTAGATCAAAAGAAGCCCACGAATTACGCGGCGTCAATGTATCTCCACATGATGACAATGAAACAGTCGATGCTACACTTTGACGGCTACCACTTGAGAGGGATGTTATATCTAAATATGTTAATAATTAAAAGAGAAAAAGGTAGAAATAAAGAAATACCAAATTCGCTGGCAGATTCGGATGGAGTTGCCTGAAAATCCACCTCAAACTCTTGCTTTGGACTGGAAAATCTATTTTTTGTAGAGCATTGCCTATTACTTACACTGCTACTAAAGGCCCTATGCTGATAAAGCACAACATGCCAATCTGATGTATAACAGTGAATACATGTCTGGACATGAGGAGGTAAAGATTCTCTAAAATTATAGTGGTATTACTTTTTCTCAATATTGTGAAGACTGAAAATTAACACATACATATTTTCTTCTGGTACAATATGCTGTAATGTGCGAATAGGCCTTTTAATAATTTCAAGTTCTACATCGCAAGGAGGAAAATCAAGTACAGGTCTTAATGGGTCTCTATCAATTAATATTTGATGTTGAGATAAAAAATCTTCATAATCTAAAGGCTCAGCTAAGTCACTAGCCCACCACTGCAAATATTTCTTTAAATAACTATGTACAAATTTTATAGGAAATTAATAACATACACTTGTTGAAGTTGTGAACACATATCCCGGCCTGTTTGCATGGCATGAAACATTTTTTCTAACATCAGCAGCGTTATGCCTAAAATGAGTATTTCATTACAAATTTTACGAGATTTCAAAAAAATAATTAAATGTACTTACTTTGAGAGCTTTTGAGTGAACGCCCTGGTATTGGACGTCATCATTATTGCGATTACTAAACCACAATCATTAATTAATATATTTTGATTTACAATTCTCGTCTTTACTTTTTACACCTGCAATAACGATTATCTTGTTTTTCCTACGGAATATTTACTGCTGCCATAACAAAACACTGCTGTTATTACTGTCAACAAATACTGTTCTATGATACTGTTATTGCCAATTATTGCATACCATGGATACGTTCTGCATACGTAACTGCATATACGATTAGACGGATTACAAATCAACTAAAGAAATGACGAAAGCTTCATTCGGTTTGTAACAATAAATGTATTAATCATTCATTATTAAAATTTGATATTAATGTCTTATTATTATTATAAGATTAAAATAATAATTTGCTGATACTTTTTTAACGTCTTTGGCATTATTTGTATTGTGGATTGCATAAACTTTAGGCAACGTATGAAAAGTGTTCTTTTGACAGGTTATTTTATTACTAATAACCAGTGAACTCTATAATAACCTATGGAGTATTAACCCTAACAACTTATAACGTTATATACATGTATTGTATATTTATGAATGAGACATTGTTGACGATTCATACAAAATTAGATTGAGTTAAAACCTTGATTAAAATCTTAATCAGTAATAAATAGTTACGAATTTAATATTAAGCAGATTAATTCGGTACAGTCCTCTTTAGAGTGTTACATCCACTCACCCTAGAGGTTAACTTATTCTAATTCATCAAACTTCATAATGTGATAATAGATCTGTTCTATAGTTTAATTATTGTTATAGTTGATCACAAACATATAAATTGGGTATTATAAATAAATTTATGCGTATGTTTAAATACAAATAATACCTATTTTATTAATAATTTATGTCCTATCATACGGCTTTAAAGATGGATTTGTATTTAAAAATTACATTTGTATTTTCAATTTTAATTACCCACATACATTCATTCCATGGAATGACTTGACAACGTCGCAAAAAACTAAAGTCTCCATATCACAAATAAATTTAAATAACAATAAGTTAATAAGTTATTTTGGAGTGTTACTTCGTTCCTGGTTGAATTAAAGAATTATTAG